ATGTCTGAATATTTATTCATCCTTTTCCACTTTTGATTAAAAAAAAAGACTGATTTATATTGAAGAAAAAGAACAAGACGCATGCCACAAAAGAGCCTTCTAAGAGAAAACGAAAAATAAAGAGATGGAGGCATTTCCCAAAGGCATGGGGAAATATAAATAGTCTTGGGTTTCATGTCAAAGGGGAGAAATACTTGGTGTTAGTTCTATTTTTAGAAAGCAGGAGAAGTTATGAGACAGCCTGATATGAGCTGGCTGTCTGAAAATATCTGTCGTTTTTAATGTGTACCCTGCAACTCCTGTGAAAAACATGAAAACAGAAAATGTCACTGTAGAAGGATTCATCTACCCTGATGCAGGTGTCTAAAAGTTAAATACTTCAGTGTGAGCTGCTGCCGCAGACTCTCATGTTTGGTGGAGGGGAAAAAAGCATCATGAGTTGATAATCTGTCTCATGCTAAAATAAGTTGCCTGAGGTAGGCTATGAAGATGTAAAATAGGGCGACCAGCTGAGGCATACATGTCTGAAATCATCTGGGATGAATCTTGTCTACAAGAAACTCCTATTACTACATTGCTTTTAAATTAAAGGCTAGGCAGTCTGAAATGTTTACTACGTGTGAATTCATTTTTGGAGGGATAAGTGCTTTGCAATGTGGAGGTCAGACACGATCTTAATGCCTCCTGAAAATGTATTAACGCTTATAGAGCGAAGCGTGATTTGGAGAAATCATTTCAAAACTTCTGAAAGAGAAACATGTCGGAGGTAGATGCAAAGTCATGTTTTCCAGCTGATCCACTGTGACAGGTCTTCAGTTGAACAAGAGTTCACGTACACTGCATTCATGCAGAACGGTAAATTTTCTGTATTCATCTGGAACTGGAAACAGAATTTAACACAGAGAGAATAAAGATGCTTTGTGAGTTGTAGCTTCAAAACAGAAAATCTCAAGCCAAACGGTGTTCTTGAAATTCCTAGTACCAAGTCGTGATTCTAGGTAATTTGGTTAATTCTGTGAACTGTATCAAGTGAAGTAGTGCACAGAGTAACCTGGGTGTCCGAAAAGAGTTCACAAAGGTGGAATTTCCACCCTAATGTAAAGGAGATTGTCAATTTTACTTTTTAAGTCTCGAGACAATAACTGATCGCAGCCGCCTTTGCTGGGTCGGAGGAAATCCCAAGCTGACGTCGATTTGGCTGCGGCATACCATGTTTCGGTGGTTCAGTGAGAAGCTGAAACCATTGGCAGTAGCATCTCTCTCGGTTGTCATTCCCATGGACAACACTGCAGAACTGTATCACCCTTAGGAGCAACCCTGGCTGAATTTAAGGATGTTGTGTGTTGCACAGCGGACTTAATGACCCCCACTGTGATCGTTCAGAGGTCCTGAAGGTAAAGATCTAAAAGAGCTATGCTCTGATAGAGAGTAAGTCTTGGCATTTGGGAGCTGAAAATGTCACCTCTAAAGAGCTGGAAAGTTTGGAAGAGCAAATGCTTCTTGGCGGTTAGTAGTTTGCAGAAATTTAGGTTGACTGTGTTACTAGTTTCAGTGAGGTCTAGTAACTAACATTGGCCCAATTTTAGTGATTTTAGTCTAAAGGGTAGCCAGTTTTCTAGCACTTGAAACAGGTACCAAGCAAGGAGGCAATGGAGAGGGTGCCATATGTCTGTGATTGCCTCCAAAAAAATGCCCTTTGCTGTTCATAAATCTTCTGTGCATTACTACCCCAGACTGTAAGGTCCAGGCCATTCTGCTTACGCTACAAATAGTGTTCTTATTAGAGCTCTTACTGCAGAAGGTATATCTTCTGGCACATCTGTATCCACACCTGTGGATCCTACCTATACAGAGCATGAGAAAATGCTTTCCCATGCTTGACCTGTAGACCTTTGTACATGGGACAATGCGCACTCATTGTGTAGTCTTATTTTTCAGGTTTTCATGCTTGTATCTACTATGGTAAAAGTGTGGATACATGGTATGAAGTTGCTGTGAAGTACAATGATATGATGGCATCACTGCAAATATGACAAGTCATACATATGTACATTTGAGATGTAATTCTTCAAACAGGAGTGAACATGAAGGTGGTTGGACCTATTTACAAGGAACGAGGGAGCGCAGACTGTGTAATAAGTGTTTGCAGGGATATTCCTTCGCTGGTACCTTCTGCACAGCTGCTTCTTCAGCATGCGAGCGATGGAGCAATTAGCAGCGATGCAGACTTAGATAGCCTCCGTCTTCCACCACAGGTTATTACTTCATTTGTAGATTAAACAGAAGAGGTTCACAGTGTGTTTTCCATGTAAAGTAGTTTATGTTTCTCTTTCAGACACAGTGAAAAAAACAGTTGCAGAAGCTGATACATGTGTACGCAGCTATGGCAGAGTTGTCATATCTTTTGAGAAACAGGGTGTGAACATATAATTAAAGACTACGGGATACGTTTTACACTTTGTGGCTAAGGTTAAAAAAAAAATGTAGCTTCTCAATTTTGCGTCTCCGCACTGAAGAAACTTGTTCTGACGGAGAGACTTGAGGCTTTTTTTTTTTCCTAGGAGAACTCCTACGTGTACTAGAAATAGCCGGGGTGCAACATGTCCTAGTTCCATCCCCTGCACGAGCCGCGGCGCGGCGAGGACGATGTGGTGGGCGCGAGCCAGCTCCGCAGCCAACGGCAGAGCCACCTCCGCAGCCACCGGCAGCGGGAGAAGGGTGGTGGGGAGAGCTCCAGCTGCTTCTCCTGCACCCGCCGCCCCGTAAACAGGACGTGCTCGCGCACAAAAGGAAAGTGTTTATGTCATCTTCCCTATTTCCTGAGTTTGGAGAGGAGGGGAGAAATGGCAGGAATATAGCGATGGGGCGGTGGAAGTCCTTACCTGGGCTCTGCTGCTCGCCGGAGCGGGGCAGAGAAGGGGTCCCTGCTCTTTCACACTGCCCAGGACCCCTCCGTCCTGCCTGTCGTGCAGCAGGATGAGTTGCGCTTGGGTTAATCAAAGTGGCAGGGACAGTCCTACCCTTTTGCCAAGAAATAGCCTGAGATTAGGCCCTCTGCCTTCTCTGTCATGCATTTTGGGGGAATTGGGAGCATCAGTTCTGTGGGGCTGTTTGACCTTTTAGGACATCTCGGCATAAGGGACAGTGATCCATCTCTCCGTACAGGGAGAAAAAAGCTATAGGAAAATGCAAGTTTATCCCCTCCAAAGCTGGCAGACAATGTAGGCAGCTGCAGTGTCTAAAATTCTGGTTTTTTACACTGACTAGATTTCAGGTTGTGTCCCATTAAATCAGACCTTAGGATCCCTTAAATACACTTGTGTGATTATGGCTAACCCAGTATAGCTAAAGGTGCTTTATTAATTACATTGACATGTCGGGTTGTAACATGCTAAAAATATCAGTGCTGATAATTTGGTCGCTTCTTATTTTCAGCACAGCTATGTTCTTTGTACGTACTGTCAAATCACCACGCTGTAGATGGCCCACGGTTATCACAGGCAGGGCTTTATTATTTCAACAAAGGTATTTCTTTGTTATTTCAAAAGGAAACAGAAGATAGGCGATAAGCTAACGAACTCACAATGGGTGGAAGTTCATTAAAAATACATGTCCTTGGTGTACGTGTGATGCATTTAGATGTTAAGCCTTTTGGAGCAGCAGGTGTTTGTACCGTGTCGTTACAACAGGGCCTCACGTGTCACCAGATTTTCAGTACCGATGGTAATCAAAAGATGACTTTTTGGCATGCTGGCAAGTTAGGTGGGCTCAGGGAGCTGGGAGTTGTGTATCGAGACAAGGTCGTTACGGTTGTGAGGTTCACGTGAGGTGACTGGGCAGGGAACTAGAGCCAGCGCCTTCCACGCAGAGGCCAGCGTGTTTCTTTTTGGCAATCTGTATGTCAGAGGTAGTATGTCGCTGAAGTTATTTTCAAAACACCTTCTTTTTTTCCTTTTCAAATAAATATTGCATTAAGCAGCGGTCTAGCTTTGTAATAAGTAGGTCAAAGTGCTGTCATGACTGTCTTGCATACCACCTACAAATACAGCTTAAAAATGTGTCGATTGCCAAATTAAAGAGGAAAAGCAGGCGATACACTCTAATTCCTTGATTTGTGCTGAAGTTTGGAGCACAGATTAGCAATGGCATGATAAAACATCACACCCCGGCTTTTGACATCATTTTCACCGTCATCAGCCGTTTCAGACAGGTGATGGAAATCTGGACTGTTTTCCAATACTGTGAGCAGGTTGAGTCAGTTGCTCGGCACATTGTGCATTTTACCTTCCCAGTATTGGAAGCGCGAGAGCTTGCATCTGTAAAATGGTTGCTTCACCCTCAGTTTGAGAGACTGGAGAGAACGCAGCAAGGTTAGGGACTAGGCAGGCACGCAGAGGTTCTGTTACCATCATCCCCCTGGATCCCCTGACATAAGGAAGCATGAAAAAAACCTCTAAAGTTCGCTGACCTGCAGATAATTTTTTTAAGAAATAAGCAGCTGCTAAAAGTGCATTGAAAAGACAGTTTAGCTTCTTGAAAACACCCAGCCCAGTACAGCTTTTTGCTTGTGAGCGGATAGGGGCCCTGCCTCCACCGTTTCCCCAGGTTGTTCCTGACTTTGTGGGAGCAAGGTGGGAGCTGGAGAATCGTGCAGGGCTGCTTCCCCCTCTGCCGACAGCCGGGGCGCTGGGGGTGCGCACCCCAACTACGGCCAGGCCCTTCCTTTGTGGCTTTGGCGCCGTCTCCGGTATTTTAACACAGAAAATACCCCCTCTGCATGTTCTCACGTGCATGAGGACGTGTGTGCGGGAGGAAGACGACCAGGTTTGTGAAACGCAAACGTCTCCCAGGCAGCGTGAGGATACGGGATGCTGTCCCGTACGGGATGCTGTCCCGTACGAGCTGCGCCCGAGCTTAGCTAGTCCGGCACCGGCCGTCTGGGCAAACTGCTCTCCCCGCATCACCTAAAAGCGTGATCATGCTTTCCTTTCTCTTAACAGATAATCCTGAAATAGCCGGCAGGAGTGGAACGGAGTGTCACGAAGCCTCCCTGCGGACGGCCAAGCACGGCTACTGTACATACTACCCCGTCTCCTCCTCTCTAGAGTTGCCACAAACTGCATGCTAAGTCAAGAATTTGTTCTTACGGACAAATCACAAACTCAAAAAAGCTAGTGCTGCTATGTCATATATGAATATTAAATATGGTATGCTTACTATACTCCAACCTAAAATAGTTAACTACCTGATACCAGCTGTGATGTTTCAAGACATAAAGGGTAACATTTAGTTTTAAAGATTTTCTAAGCATAGTTTAATTCTTGCAAATACTGTCTTTTCTCCATAACTATACCTAACGGAAATGGTCCAGTTAAGTTAGTCTCGTGAGATTCAGTGTTTATGAATCTTTCGAGCTGAGCAATAATTAAGTTGTATTGGCTAAAAACTTATCCCAGTTGCAGGTTTAATTATCACCCGAACTATGATTGGGGTTTTTCTTCTCGGTTGGTTTTGCTCCCCCAGCGAGTTGATTCCAAGACAAGAGGAAGTGACGCGCAGCCCGGTGTCCTGCACATCGCCCTGCCGATCTGAATGTTTTTAGCCAGAAGTCCAAAGTAAAGCACAAATTCTTTAGATGCACATGGTTGGTGTTTGACTTATGTGGAGAAGTTGCATTTGAGTCATAGCAGAATAGCAGAAGAAAATTTAAAAATTTTGCACAGTATGAACTTCGTACCCCTTTCGATCCCCAAAAGAACAAAGTCTTGAGAATATTATTTTACGAGTATATTTATAATGTTTTTAAAAGAGACTTTGCAGAAGTGCCTAAATTTTGTCACATCAGACTTGATGAAAGTGAGCCTGATGCCAACAGTCAAATCTCACCGGAAGCGAATAATCTCATAGTCAGGTTACCAAAAAGATCCAAACTGTTAAGAAGTAACTTCGAGAAGCGTAAAGTAAAAATAAAAAAAAAGATGACCAAACTAACAAAAGAAAAGGCGAAAAAGAAGGCTGTAGATGAAGAGATTTGTATGATACTCTAATTTAATTAAAATTCAGTTGAGTCACCGAAAATTCATAGGTGACTTTAATCTAGACTATTAACTGAACACTAAGAATGTAGAATGAGATTCAGTTTAATAAATCGTTACTGTATTTGCATTTTTTAAATTGGATTATAAGATTGTAACCAGAGTAGAGTGGAGAAAAAAATAGTTCTTTTAATTGTTTTTCTTTAAAAACATATTTTATGTCACAGAAGTATGAAGATATCTTTAATACAATTATATACATTATATATACATACATACATATATATGGATGAAGCAGATTTTAATGTTGTTTACTTTTTTAAATACTTTGTTGATTTACAAGGTAATTATATATGTATAATTAAAATTTCATTTGTTTGATTTGAGATTTGTTTCAAGCACTATTGTACCAAATATTTCATATTTCACATTTTATATGTTGCACATGTATCACATAAATGACATAGTTTTTAAATTATTGTTTAAAAAAACAAGACAGCTGTTATAAGTGGATATTATGTATAATTGTTTGCAGCATAAGTTTTCTATGTGGACATTATTAGTGATTGCAGTATTTTAACTTAACCTCTTCAGATTGATTGTAAACTATTTTAAACTTTGGCAGCACTGCCTGTTCTGAACGACTGAAGGCACTAACCATATAATTATTTGTCTAGGAAATTATTTTCCGGGCTAAATCTTGTTTGTCCGATGTCTAATTACTATCTATTTATATATAAAGCTGGAGATTTGATCATCCGAAAGAAAAAAAATAATCACAATTTGATTGTAAAATTAACATAGTGCTTGTAACGTTGCGTTAGTTTTAATTTGTGGAAAAATAATGTATCTTAACTTGTTACTTTAGCAGTTAAGGTATCACCATTATATACTATTAAAACACTAATATTTGTAGACTTTCTCAGTCATTATAACTAGGTAGTTGACACTGCAACTTGCCTATATCTGTCAAAGTTGTTTTTATTTTTTTATAATAGTTAATTTAGGCATTTGGGTAGCTTATTGTATAATACTAAATGATAAATTATCCATGTTTAAATATTTTATGTAGATAACTCTTCAAGACATTGTTTTGTGTGAACTTTTTATGTTTCAAAATAACTGTTATTCTATGTTTTTTACAATTAATCCAATACTACTATTTTTTGCCCATGGATGACGAAGCTTCAGATACATCAGGTCTTTCATCCAGATAAACTGACAGACAGAAAGAGAAAATGTATTTTTAATAAGAGATCCACTTTCCGACTTTATGACTTTGTAATATTCCTGAAAACTGTACAAGTACAAACCTATGCTAACAGTAAGGAGGCAATTACAGAGATGTGCAAATACGTGTACAACAGATTCTGCATTTTATTTATTTATAAAGTAATTTTATAGACTATTTCAAAATTTGGGAAGATCTAAAACTATTTTTCTGTATAAATATTATTTGCCAAAACTTTGTTTATATTTTAAAAAAAAAGTCTAATGAAAATGATTAAATTTTAAATGCTTTGTTTAATTAAAAAAAAAAAACCACAACAAATAAAACCCCCTAAAAGAACCATGAGATGGACCAACACAGAGACAGTGAATACTGTAGCTGGGACACGGTTTCAAGTGACTTGAGATGTCTCAGTGTTTGTTTTCTTCAAAGGATCCAGCACCTCACCAAAACACCTTTTTGTTTGCCTCTCTCATCCAGCATAATTGACGACATGTACAATGAATATTTCAGTAACAGTTAAAAGAAACCCCTCCATTCACTCTTTTTTCAGCATATAACTACTAGTGGTCTGTTAAATAGCCATTCTATTTCTGTTGTGACGTTAAATTCATTCACCCAATGTACAACCACTGAAATAAAAAGAAGCATTTTAAAATGAGAGCAGAGTCGGGGCAATCCTTTCTTGTGATGTGGCTATGGGAAGAGGGGCCTGGGGTAACAAAAATAGTCCAAAAAACGTGGAGGAGTCTTTAAAAAGCGTATTACTTTATTTTATTTTATTCTATGCTATTCTAATTTTATTTTTTCCTTAATTGCATGTTCAAGTAACAAATCCTGAAGTGCAATCCCCAGGTGCAAGACACACGCAGCTGCTATATGACGAAGCACGTGCTCTTCTCCTGCTGGGGTCGGCGTGCCGAGGACACGGCGCTGCACGGCTTTAGCCCCAAATGGTCATTTCGCGCCCCTCCTGCCTGCCGGTGGGTGCTGGGGTGCAGGCAGGCAGGCAGTGGGTATCTCTGCGGTGTGGCTCGCAGATGCCTCACCGTTGGGGGTTTTTTTGCCGGCGCATCCTCTGCATCCTCTGCTTTTGCCTACATCTCAGAGAGTATTGCACCAACAAATAATCCCCGTTATCTACGAGTTCCTCCAGGGAAAGCAGCACCGCAGAGGAGTTGTGTGCCCAAGGGCAGAGATCGCACGGCAAGCTAATGACAGAGGGATTAAAACCTCTGGCTTGCAGCTCCGTGCTTTCTTCACACCATCTGGTTTTTAAATGCTTTAAAGAAAGGAAATACAATTCCTGCAGAATCCAGAAGAGTTTGTGTCATAAAGTTGTATACATTTCATCAGCACAGGGCTGGGTTGAAAAGAGTCCAAGGTCACAAGCGATGTGGAAAATCACCAGGTTAACCAGTCGATTTGGATGTATCACAAACGTACTGAGCCGGGAGCCTGCTGAGAACGAGCACGTGGGATGGGGAGGAGATACGGGGATGACTTGCAGGGACAGCGAAGGGCTGGAGCGTGAGCGGGCTACAAGGGGATTGTAGAGCAGAAACAGCAAACGAATCGAATTAATTTCCTAATGATTTGGGAGCGGAACCCCTGTCTGCTCACACTTTCTTATGTTAAACCCCACCCAGGACAGCTGTCAGCTGCCAAGAAAGGTCAGGACATCTTGATTTTCTTGTCTAAAAACTGCTTTGTTTCTTGTCAACTTTGCCACTTTTTTGGCAACGGAGAAATGCTCGTGGGAGCCGTGAGCTTTCAGGAGCCACGCCAAACCTGCAATCGTCGTACGCCTCTGTGCGCGGAGCGTACCCCCTTCAGCTAACGTCAGTGTTCCCAAAATGAAGCAAGATACTTCTAGAGAAGAGGCTTTAGAAACCTTTGGTATTCTCCCCCCACCATGCACGTCCCCGCAGATGGAGGGTGGCCACAGCTTTGGGGCCAAGGGCTGCTCCCCTGCACGGAGCAGTCCCTCAGCCCAGGCCAAGCGCCGCAACAGCATCGCGTTGCTCAACATCGACCTTCTCTAGAGCAGACGGGACAGGTCCACGCTCCCAGCATTCGGCTGTGCATCTCCTCAGGTCCCCACATGCTGTAGCCATGACCATAAGGCATTATTATTATTTTTCAGTATGTTTTGCTTGGTTTTCAGTTCAAAAGTCTGAAGTAATCTGAAGGCTGGGTTCTTTTGCAGCCCATTGGAATTAATAGCATGAAACAAAAGGGGAGATGACATTTGAGGGATCGGAGCCTGCTGGGATAGCTTTGCATGTTTGTATACAGCAAAGGAAGCTAAAACTGGGTCAGCCTTGTCCGCGCTGCGTTTTGGGAGTGTCTGCTGAGCAAGTTCCCGAAACAGCAGCTGGGTTTTGTTTCAGGAAGAGTTGTTTCACGCCCGAAGAGAGCCTAGGAACAAGCCAACATTTCTGTGCTGTGGGTGATGATGGAAAAAAAGGACTTGTGGGCAAGGCTGCTCGACAGCGTGGGCATTGAGTCTTCTGCCAGCGGCATTTATTGCATGAATTCATGGGACCCCAAAAAATGCCATGCCTGGAATTGCTGAAAGCCTTCCTTGGCATCTGATCGTATGCACAGCATGCTTTTTATGCCTGCAATCATTTCTCTAGCCAAGGCTTTTGAGTAACCTGCCTTTTCAATGTCATATGATTGGCAGTTCTGGAGGTTTTTTTGCGTGGATCAAGATGATTTCTATTGCTGGAGTGGAGGTGTGTGTGAGGACAATACCATCTCAGCTGTTGCATTAAAGCAGTTACTGTTGCTCCTATGTAACGTAGCCGAGCAAAAGGTGATAGGTATAGAATATATAGTTAGATTATCTGTGAATTAATAAATTACAAAAATGTCTTCTAAATTTGTACTCTTCTAATTCTGTAATTATCGAAACCACAGAAATTGTAGAAAATAAATTACATGGTTCTTTACATGAAAATATCTTCTGCCAGAGCAGGGGAAAAAGAAATACTAAGAAATGTGAAAGGAAGCTATTGGCATGAGCTGCTTATGCAATGTTGTGTTGCAGTTGTTACATTATTTCCACCAAAGCTTCTTACAGAGTGAGGAAAATACTTTATGATTCAGGAAAATCACTACAGGAAAGACGCTCTGCTCCTCTCATCTTCAAAGAGCTGGATTTGGATACGACTTTTAATTCCGGTGAGTGTCCTCCTTAGTCTAGTTGTCACAACCCACTCAGGGCGTAGCCTGCGTGGTGGGTGGTTTCTCAGAGGGTCACCAGCCCAAAAAGATGCCGGGATGTGGTGGTGACAAGGGTGACCACAATGGTGTAAGGTTCACCTTGCAGGAGCAACGCCCGGGGATGGTCACGCAGGTGTGTGCCTACGCTAAACCTGCGCTGTGTTTACATTTGCCATGAACGCCTCGCCTGTTCACGGCGGGGTAGAGGGAGGAAATGCTTTCTGTTTCCTTGGTTTTTGGTTGTAGTCACCACACTGAATGCCAGCAGAGCACATTCAAGATGCTAAAGTTGGTAGCTGACGGCTCAGGACCGTGAGCAAGCAAGTTTTTCACACTTGGAAAGCTGTTAGGGTGGGATCCAGCTTTCTCTCTGTAGCTGTGAAGTATCGTTTCAGGCACCGCAGGGTACCCACTTGGCCTAAAGCTCCTGCGGTGGAGACGCAGATGTCTGGATGGGTTTCTTAGGTCTGCCAGCCCTGTGCAGGAGTCTCAGGTGCTCTTCAACACCTCAGATGAGTTCAGTCAATGAATCCTACCTGTTTTCACAGAGGACTGTCCACCGTAACAATGGTTTTGATGGATTTTTAAAATATCATCATGCACAAGAAATCACAAAATCATGAGATTAGCTTAAATGGTCTGATAGTTAAAACCCCTGTTCGTCTCTGTAGGTATTTGGAGTACATTCAGCTTGCATATTTAAGCTTTTTCTCTCCTACCGTGATGCCTAGAAATGTTTTTCGTATTACCTACCATGCCCATGTGCTCATGGAGGGAAAATTAAAGAGCAGCTCATAAAATTCTTGAGAAAGTGATGAAAAGTGACAACATGAATTTTACAGATTTAGTGAATTCAAGATGTTTTTATCTCTTACCATGTTATAGGGAGGGATGACAAAATATGGTAACTCTTTGACATATAATTTCTTCAGGCTTAATCTTCACATAGGCTTTATTCAATTATTATTATGCCAATAAAGGTGTGATGTTATCAGTATAACTTAGAATGTAATTGCAATGGGATGGACTGTCCTTCTCTGCAAATAAATCATTCTGTTTAAATGTTTCACACAGAACAGTTGTACCCTACTCTATCCAATGTAGTTACTTTGCTTTAATTTTTCTCTCTCTCTGTAAGGCTTGATAACAAGCTGTCCTTGGACTAGATGACCTTTAACGGTCCCTTCCGACCCAAACTATGCTACAATTCTGTGATTCTCCAGAATTTTGCCTATAAGAAATGAAACCGAATTACATCGGATTGTCAGCCAACTCTGCGCTTTCTTACTTGCAGCCACTCTATTTGCCAGATGTAGCACAATATTTAAATGGATTGCCTAAACAGTGGCAATAGATTTCTTCTGAGCATCTGTTTCGGCATGCAGGCAGAGGTATGCTTTTACCACACAAAATTCAGGCCTTTTGCATTCAGCCCCAGGCTTCCTGTGTAAGCAAATGGAGAGAGAGCGGCCGAGGCTTTGCCAGAGGGCAACAACGTTCAACGTCTAGGCAGGATTGCCTCTTCTGGAACCTTCCCAGCCCAGCTGCCTACAGAGATGCCCAGGGTGGCCCCCCCTCCTCCATCGAGCTGGGACACACAGCGAGGTGCTGTGCATCCCCGTTCCTGCCCGCAGAGACCCAGATCCTTCTTGCTCTGGCTTTGATCTTAGCTTCTCTTCTAAGCGTATGTGCGCCATGGGAACCCCATGCCACCTGTCAGCTTCTGCGTCTTTATTTTTGTCTGAGGGTGGTTGTTTTTTTTAAAGCATCTTGTTCCTCTTTTCCTCCTTTCATTCTAGAAATGATGTAGGCTTTTTTACCGTCATGTGGTTGAGGACCACGTTTTGGTCCTTGCACCACTGTGGCACTTTAACAGCTCATTTAGGCCCGTTAGTTGCAAGGAATTGATTTCTCTTGCCAGCACAGATTGAGCATAATGCCTGAAAGGTGAGATGATTTGTAAAAGTGACCTGTTCTGCAGTAATCAAATACCTTTTCCCCATTGTTACACGTGCACATTAATACGAATCCTTTACTGCTTAGAGAAACTTCAGGGGGACAATGTCCTCTTGCTACGTACGAGAAGTATTAGCCAATTCTGTTTTATTCTGTGCGCAGAGGCTTTTATCTTCACTCACTTGATTCTGCTGGCCTTCTTTTAGGAGACCCTTGGATCCAACTTAAAAGCCACGCTGCTGTTGACCACGCAGAGAAGTTCCTTGCAAGCTTACGAAAGTCTGTGTGAGCGTCACTTCCAGGGGGACTGACCAGATGCTCTTCATTTTCATTACTAAAGCGGGAAACCACAACAGTCTAAGCATTTAAAGCGTCCTTTAATTACAGATTTGCTTTGCGTGGAAGATAGAGTGGTCTAAACCTTCCTGGAGAGGATCTGACTTTCATGCACGCAGTGACTCACCTGCTCCATCCAA